TCATAGTACTCTACATTGCTACTGTAATTTTTATCAGGTCTCTCTTGTAAATGAGTCCCTGAGGCTCAGTGGGATTAACCTGTACAAATAAAGGTTGAAGGAATTTTTTTCTTTGACCACCTCCATGCAGCTCCTGCAGCCACCAGCAGGGGGCAGCAGGGGCCTCTCGCCTCCAGCAGCAGTTTGGCCTTCACTTCTCGTCACCTCTGGATAGTGTAGAAACATTAAAACTGCAGCGGAGCCTCGTTAAAGTGTTTGTTCGGCCTTCAGACGCGTCTGGGGAGCACGGATCAGGACGAACCTGCAGCAGAACTTTATCCGATTTGAATTTTCCTGCCTCTGTAATTGACGGGGGAGTTACGGTTCCGCTGCAGCTCCAGAAACTGTGTGTGACTCTGAAGAGGAGGCAGATCGTTGCTGACGTTCTGCAGAATGTCACAGTCCCACACTCAAACACACAATTGATTTCCCCCCTCGGTTTCCTAAAAGTTCTTGTTTGAGACGAGCCAGGAGGTTTTCAGAGACGTTGAGCAAACGTCTGCTTTCCACTGGAGGTTTGGAAATGTCTCAGAGATGGCAGTGAGGTTTCTGACTCAAATATTCAATGAAATATTTGAGGGTGAAGAAATGCCCGAGGAATGGAGAACTGTGCTGGTGGACATTTTTAAGAACAAGGGTGATGTACAGAGTCGTAGCAACTACAGGGGAATTAAGTTGATGAGTCACACGATGAAGATCTGGGAGAGAGTTGTGGAAGCAAGACTTAGAGGAGAGGTGACTGTGAGCAGCAGGATGGTTTCATGCTGAGAAAGAGCACCACAGATCCTTCTTTGCTTTCAGGATGCTGATGGAGAAGAACAGAGAGGGTCAGAAAGAACTCCATTGTGTCTTTAGAAAAAGCATCTGACAGAGTGCCGAGGGAGGAGGTGTCTTGTTACATGAGGAAATCTGGAGTGGCAGAGAAACATGTTAGACTGGTACAGGACATGTATGAGGACAGCAGGACATGTATGAGGACAGCAGGACATGTATGAGGACAGCAGGACAGTGGTGAGATGTTCTGTAGGAGTGATAGATAGCTTCAAGGTGGAGGTGGGAGTGCATCAAGGATCAGCTCTGAGCCCCTTCTTGTTTGCTCTGGTGATGGACCGACTAACAGGTGAAGTCAGGCAGGAACCCCCGTGGACGATGATGTTTGCAGATGATGTGATCTGTGTTGAGAACAGGTGGAAGAGAACTTGGAGAGGTGGAGGTATGCACTTGAAAGAAGAGGAATGAAAGTCAGCCGTAGTAAGACAGAGTCCACGTGTGTGAATGAGAGGGAGGAGGTGGAACAGTGAGGCTACAAGGAGCAGAGGTCACAAAGGTGCAGGACTTCATGGACTTGGGGTCCACTGTCCAGGAACATGTGGAGTGTGGTGAAGAGGTTAAGAAGAGAGTCCAGGCAGGATGGAGTGATGGAGAAAAGTTTCAGGAGTGATTTGTGACGAAAGTGTGTCAGCAAAGGTCAAAGGAAAAGTTTACAAGACAGTGGTGAGACTAGCTATGTTGTCTGGTCTGGAGACAGAGACATGGACAAAAAGACAGGAGACAGAACTGGAAGTGGCAGAAATGAAGATGTTGAGGTTCTCCTTAGGAGAGACAAGGATGGAGAAGATCAGGAATGAGATCATCAGAGGTACAGCACAGGTTGAACAACTGGGAGATAAAGTTAGAGAGGACACACTGAGATGGTTTGGACATGTCCAGAGGAGGGACAGTGCTTTGGTCATGTCCAGAGGAGGGACAGCGGGTATATTGGTAGAAGGATGTTAGAAATGCAGCTGCAGGAAAAAGACAAAGAGGAGACATCTGGAGTTAGAGAGGACATGGAGGTAGATGATAGTTGTTTAAAATGTGTTTTAAAGGATAATAGTTTGTAAATTTTAAAATACAAACTGATTGGACAGACGGACCAATCAGATTTCTGCAGGACTCCCTCTGGCTCCTCCCCCTCCACCTTGGAGACAAGTCTTTTGTGGAAACAGATAAAAAAAAAACAACACATTTTTAAATAAACAGTTTTGTTCAAAATGAGTTCACGAACCAACACAACGAGCTGAAACGTTTTGCTTCTTGTCCGTCTCAGGAAACGAGACTCTGCGGGCTCAATTAGACGGAGCGGGCGACAGGAAGTGTTTTTGTGCTCGGAGCTCCAGAACTCCTGTTCACATTTTCACCGACTTGTTTTATGACGACGAGCTGCGATCGCAGCTCAGAGCCTCAAAGCTCTGATCGCTCACTCTGCCTCCTTCATCTCCTCCTCAGTGAAATTAGAGTCTCGCGCTCGGCTGAGGCGTCCTGCGGGAGCGTCTTCAGGGCCCCTGAGGGCCCCCCCAGACTGCAGTTTGGGAGCGTCTTCAGGGCCCCTGAGGGCCCCCCCAGACTGCAGTTTGGGAGCGTCTTCAGGGCCCCTGAGGGCCCCCCCAGACTGCAGTTTGGGAGCGTTCAGTGCGGCCCACGTTTACAGGCTCCGGTAATGATGCTGTTTGTTCAGCGCTCCGTAAATCACACGACATTAGAGCTGTCACTGATCCACTGGAGGCTCGGCAGAACTTCACTAATACCCACAAACCCCCGAGACGGGCCGACCAGATCCATAACACCAGAACACCCCCCCCAAAAAAAAATCCACCAAACCTACCCCACGAGTCAGAGCACACAAAGAGACAAAATAAATATGAACAGCTTCGATTCTTTCACAGAAAATGTAACAAGTTGTTCATTTTTCTGTTCAGGAGCCGAAACTGAAACAAAAACGGACAAATAGCAGCTGAAAGCTACAATGATGCTTCAAGTTTGTGAACTCTTCATCATTTTCTATATTTCTGCATCAACAGGACCTGAAACATCTTCAGATTTCACACACGTCCTAAAAGTAGAAGATCAAGAGAACAAAGTTCAACAAACGAGACTAAATATTAAACTGGGTCATTTATTTATTGAGGACAATGATCAATATTAAATATCTGAATCTTTACTAGTACCTGGTCTGACCCCCCATCAATAACTTCTACTAAACATTTCTGGTATCTGTTGATGAGTCCCGCTCACCTTGAAGGACCTTGAGTCCGTTCCTCTGTCCAGAACAGCTTCACCTCTGGATGTTGGTGGTGTCCTCACATGAACTGCAGCTTCAGCTCCTTCCACAACATCTGGATCAGATGAAGGTCAGGACTTTGACTTGGTCATTCCACATGAACTTTATTCTTCTTGAACATTCTTTGGTAGAACCACTTGTGTGCTGAGGATCATTGTTGCTGCAGGACCCACCTTCTCTTCAGATCCAGTTCATGGACAGATGTTCTGACAGGTTCCTTCAGAATTCTCTGATATAATTCAGAATTCATTGTTCCATCAATGATGGCAAGAAGTTCTGACCCAGATGCAGCAAAACAGGCCCAAACCATGAACCTACCACCACCATGTTTCACAGATGGGACAAGGTTCTTCTGCAGGAATGATGTTCTCCTTTCTACAAACAGAACTATTTTCATTTAAACCAAGAAGTTTTATTTTGTCTCATCGTCCACAGAACATTCTTCCAACAGTCTTCTGGTTTGTCCACGTGATCTTTAACAAACTGCAGACGAGCAGCATGTTCTTGTTGGAGAGCAGTGGGTTCTCCTTCAAGCTGCCATGAACCATCGTTGTTCAGTTCTCCTGATGGTGGACTCATGAACATCAGCATCAGTCAGTGAGAGAGAAGTTACCCTGTGTGACCTCACTGACTATTCCACACCTTGTTCTTGGAGTGGTCTTTGTTGGTCCACCACTCCTGGGGAGGGAACAATGCTCTTGATCTTCCTCCATTTACACAACATCTGTGTGATGTGGATTGGTGGAGTCCAAACCCTTTACAGATGTTCTGTAACCTTCTCCAGCCTGATGAGCATCAACAACTCTTTTTCTGAGCTCCTCAGAAAAAGAGTTGTTCCACCAACATGTTGTGAAGATCAGACGTTGATAGATCCTGTTCTTTAGATCAAACAGGTGATCACTCACACCTGATCATCATCATTGACTGAAAACACCTGACTCTAATTTCACCTTCAGATTAACTGATAATCCTGGAGGTTCACAGACTTTGACCATTAATATTTAATATTGATCATTGTCCTCAATAAATAAATGACCCAGTTTAATATTTAGTCTCATTTGTTGAACTTCGTTCTCTTGATCTTCTACTTTTAGGACGTGTGTGAAAATCTGAAGATGTTTTAGATCATGTTGATGCAGAAATATAGAAAATTATAAAGAGCTCACCAACTTTAGCTCCACGTCAGTCGATTAGCTGTGGTGGCCATCTTGAATTCAGTTGTAGGCGTTGCTGATGTTCATCAAGTTTTATTCAAATCCGACCTGTGGTTCATGAGATATTTTGCTAACAGACAAAAACATGATTGCCCAGCTTTGTTCATTGTCCAAACCCTTTCTGCAGTTTTTATTCCTTACAGCCACACCGCTTCACTGGATCAGAATTATTGGTTCTGCTGCCTGTGAGCCGGGCCGGCTGCCGAGGTAACCTTTGGGGGGGGGGGGGGGGGGGGGGGGTGTCTGTTAGAGGAAAGACGGGCGTTTGACAGTAAACAGGAAGTGGATCACAAACAGTCATTATCGACACGCAGCCTCACACATGGAGACATTTCAGTGCTCGGTTCTGATGTTTACTGGGACCTGGTCCATCGACCGTCCTCGGCTCCCATTAAAGCAGCCGGGGACGTCCTCGGGGGACGTCCTCGGGGACAGAGGAGGAGTTTGGAAGGAAATCTTTAAAAGGCAGAAGGTTGTTTTTGTTCTCTCAGTTTAGAGTCGGGACTGAAACAGCAAAGAATTCATTTGAACTAAATGTCAAAGTTCCCACGCAGGAAAAAGAACTTGAACGCCCCCTGAAGTCAAACCCGGTTCACCAGACCCGGCGCCGAACACAAACATCTGCACAAACAGTTTTAGGAGCTCGTATGTTTTTTAATAAAGTTTGAATCTGTTTGAATAAATCTGAACTCAATAAAGTCAAAATGTTAAAACGTCAGATTTCAGTTATTTTAACAAACAGAAGTTTTGGGTTAAATGTAATAAAAGAATAAAACAGAATCATATTCAAATCAAACTCTGGGCTGACCAGAACCAGAACCAGAACTGGGCTCTCACTGCCCCCCCGGACAGAAGGGGCAGGAGTTGTTCTTGCTGGACTGGAGCCACATCTGGATGCAGTTCCTGTGGATGGTGTGGCTGCAGCTCAGCGGGTGCCGGCTCTCCGGGTCCACGTGGTTCTGGCACATCAGGCAGAGCTTTCGGACCCCGGCTGCAGGTGGGGGTGTGGCTCTCTGCAGGGGAGGGGCCGGTCTCTGGATGAGCCCCGACGGGGCGGGCCTGCCGATGGGCCCGGGGGCCGACCTCTCGCTCTGGGCCAGCCTGAAGCCGACCTGCTCGATGACATCATCCATGGACATTCCCGCCAGCGTCCCCCGGGAGCTCTTCACCTGCTGCAGCAGAACCCGCAGCTGGGCCTTGTTGCACTGAGGGAACCGGGACCCCAGCCTCTCCAGAACCTTCTCCAGTTTGTCGGCGGGGGCCGAGGTGGCAGCGGGGGGAGGCGGGGAGGGGACCGCCGGGTGGGTCCGCTGAACTGGAGGGGACGGGGACGGGGACAGACTGGGAGGGGGAGTCACCTTCATAGGGGGTCCTGTTAGAGGCGGGAACTGATGCTGGGCCAGGTGGCCCGGCTGGAAGCGGGGCGGAGCATGATTATGCTGTGCTGGGGGGGGCATGAAGAACGGTGGGGGAGGATGGTGAAAGGGGGCGTGGTACTGGGGCGGAGGGGGGCGGAAGTGGGGTCCGTAGGAGTGTGGGTGTCTCTGTGGAGGGAAAGGCTGGTGGGCTGCGTGTGCAAAACCAGGGGGCGGAGCCAGCGACTGCATCACCTGTCTGAACCTGAGGTCGGCCTGTCAGAGAACAGAGAGGGTTCGGAGTTCAACCGAAGCGGATCTTTTGGGCCGTGAACTTTGCTGGACTCACCATGGGGACCTGAGGCAGAGCGGGCACGTTGATCCTGGGGAGGGACTCCAGCTCCCGACCCTGACGGAGCTGCTGCAGAACCTCCTGGAAACGCTTCTGGAGCTCGGCCTTGTTCTTCTGAACCAACCCTTCATTCTTCTCCCACTTGGCCCGGTCCGTATGGTACTGCTGCGGGAAGTCCACCCGGAGAGCGTTCAGGTACTGGGACACCTGGAAACAGTCACAAACCAAAACTCAGTCCTGCTGAAAAGTTTCAGCTGCTCTGACGTGACACAAATAAAGCTGAAGATCAATTTTAGCTTCTACGTTCTTTTAGCTACAATTTGACAACTGTATCTTTTTTGTTACGTTTTGATGATTTTAGCTGTTTTGTTGGTTTTAGCCTTTTGCTACTGTTCTGTTTCCTTGGGCTTAAAACAGCTCAGTTTCAGATTCTTCAACAACTTCAGCTCTCACCGTCTTTAATTTATTCGGCTAAAATGATTTTAGTTAATAAAAAATAAAAAGTGCGTTTGTCCGGACCTCCCGGAGCCAGGCCTCGATGTGGGACATGGCCACGTCTCTCTGCTTCTCCACAGCCGAGATCTCGTCCCGTAGAGCCTGCAGCTGGGCCTCCTGCGCCTCCTTCCTCACTCGCTCCATCTCCCGCCTCAGCTCCTCCAGCTCCTCCTCCCACCTCCGCTGCTCCTCTCTCTGCTCCTCGCTGAGCGTCGTCAGCTTCTTGTCGCTGTCCTCCAGCTCCCGGAGCAGCCTGGACGCAGGACAGCAGGGGGTCAGAAGCTTCGGTCCGAGTTTACGTCTTTAAAGTCTGTCCCTTCACCGTCTCACCTGTTCCTCTCCTCCTCTGCTCTGTTCTTCTCTGATGTCATTTCCTGCTTCTTGCTCAGGAAGTTCTTCCTGGCGGCCTTGGGGTTGTTGAGCTGCAGTTTGACGCCCAGCGAGTCGCGTTTTTCCTGCTGAATCTGAAAACACGGCGAGTTTAAACCGACAGCATCTTCAGACGATGTGAGAGAGCAGGTGCGTTTGTTTTTATCACCTTCTGCTGGAGGAGCGCCTCCTTCATCATCTTCTGCAGCTCCTGTTTGTGTTTGGCTTTTGCCACCTCCTCCTCCTCCTGCTTCTTCACCAGCCGGTTGTACTCCTCCGACAGTTTGGAGCCGTGCTCCAACATGGCCGCCACCTGGTCCTCCCAGTCCGGCTGCGTGTTGGCAGCGGACTCCGTGGTGCCGTCCGTCTGCACGGCCTGCGCCGTGTGGATCAGGTCTGAGAGGAAAATCAAGTTAATGTGACGATCAGGGATTAACTTCAGCTAATCCCAGTTATCTTCTGACATGTAATGATTTTTATTTATACTGCCTGCAGCTTGTGTTGCTCTAACTTCTCTGGAAATCTCAAGATATTTAAACGTTTTTCTTTCAAATATGCAGCTGGAAGTTTATATTTACTGATAATCTGAGCTCAGCTGTCAGGATTAGTTAAACCAGATGAACAGAACAGAACCTGGATTTGATTGAACTCATTCTTTATTTGGTTCGAATGTGAAAAAATGCAGGAAAACATGGAGAGTTTAAAAAACATTTTAAATATAAAATCCACTCGTTTTATATTTTAATACAACTCTGGGAACAGATTCAGTTGTGAAACCAATTTTCTGTTTGCAAATATAAATACACACACACACACACACACACACACACACATATATATATATATATATATATATAAATTATATATATATATATATATATATATATATATTAGTTGATTATTGAAACTAAAATCAGAAGAAACACTTACCTGAGCCCAGGACCAGATTAAAGTTTTACAGCAGTTTCATTTACCTGGATCCGTTTCTGAACCGGAACCCGATTTTAAACATTTTACCTTCAACTGTCATTTTAGCCAGCTCCAGGTTCAAGTCCAGGTCCAGGTTCTCTTGTTCTTCCACAGTTTGGGATTCATCATCCTCCTCTTCCTCACGGCGCCGAGGGTTAGCCGTTTCCCCGCTAGCATCCATGCTAACAAAACTACAACAAACGAAACCTACAACGTTTCTGCAGTCAGGTTGTTAGAAACACGCCGAACGGCTAAAACTAACTAAATTAAATCTCTGATGTCCTTAAAAAGCTCTAAACGTCTGTTGTTGTAAATATTTCAGGTAAATCGAACGTTTCAGTTACAAGTAGGACGCCAGGAAGTGACGGTGTGTCTCCCTGAAAATGATCCGGGTTGAAACACGTCAACGTCTTTGGAACAAAGATCGTCCATTTACGAGAAGATGTAACACATAGACTAGTCTTTCAATTACTGGAAAACTTCAGAACATTTTAGGGTTTCATTTAGTTTCGTGAAAAAGAACTCCAAACTAAATAAATATTTTAATATGATTTTAAAATAATGTCATTTATTAGCTATTCATCCTAATTTAAACTTTTTTTTTACCTAGTATGAATTATTTTAGATTTTTTTCTTTACAAATATATTATTTAATATGGAATTTTATTCATTTATTTTATCATTTTGAGTACATGTAATCTGAAACTCTGACATCTGAGGAAAAGAGGGATACGTGGGTGGAAACCATGTTTTCTCTTAATATTTAGCTGTATAACAGTTTTTGTTTTAAATCACATCAGTAGAGAGGTGTTTCTTGTGATGTCTGAGGGTTCATTTTTCCTTTAATTCTGTTTATAAAATCATAGTGAGTTGAGAAAACTCAAAGTATCTTATAGGGCTGCACCGATTGCAGTTTTCTGGCTTATCACCGATTTCTAAAAAGTCTGACCTGCCGATTCCGATTTTGTCTGAAACCAATTTTCTTTTCTAAGCAACACTGTCAGGTGTTATAAGGTCACAATGCACCTTCAATTTTCCATCCTTATTTTATTGAAAAGCATACCATGAACAATATCCTAGAAACAATACCAGCTTGTTTTAACTGGTCATGACGTAGTGCTCTGAAATATAAATGGAGTTTAGACAATTGTTGTTAAAACTATAAAAATCGGTAAAAACTGGTTTCTCATGCAAGAATCGGCCGATTTCTCAAAATTAAGGAAATCGCCCCGATGATTTATCGGTGCACCCCTAGTATCTTATGAGAATAATATTCATTCAATCTTTATTTATACAGGTTAGTCCCATTGAGCCTCGTGGACTCATTTACAAGAGACCTGAAAATATGATCAATCAGCAATCATCAATATTTACTCCTATTTTGGTGTTTGTTGTCAAAACCGAAATATAATGACATTTGAGGAGTGGGCCACAGAAGAGGTCTCACTCTGCTTCACGTTTACAGAATCAAATTTAATGCACATTAGTTTGGCAAACTAAAATTAAATAAATAAATCAGTAATTATGTTTTTTTTTCTTTTTTCCCCGACCCAGGAATAGTTTTGTTGCGAATAATCCTAGAAAGTCGGAGCGGAGTGGCACCTCTTGCTGACCCACGCCTCTCTGGTTCCCAGCAGGACGTCACATGACGGAGCTGGGAGAACCTCCTGACTCCCGCTCCTCGTCCTCCTGCTCTCTTCCCGTCACTCCTCGGATTCCTTGCCGTCCGCGGTCGCTCTCAGCCCGCAGGAAGACGCCGTCATGACGGACGCAGCAGCCCGGGAGCCCCCGCCCGAACACACCGACTTCCATGAGATGGAGGACGGGGAGGACCTGTTCCTGGAGCCGAGCCCCACTCTGGAGGAGGTGAGGAGGAGGTGATGGAAAGGAGGGAGGCCGAATAGAAGCAGGGGCAGGCAGGCAGGGCGTGATGCCTCCAGCTGATGAGAAACATCAACTTAGAGGGAAGAAATCACAAAAAAAACTTAAATTTGTGTTTTTTTCAATGAGGTCCGGCGCGCGCAGGCCTCGTTTTCAGTAATCTTTTCAAAATAAAAGAGTTTGTTTTGCATAAACACCAAACAAACGGTGGCCTTCAACCCTATAGGAGCCGAAAAGGGTCAAAAACCCCTACCGTTTACACACGCAGTCAGGTGACAGGCACGCAGGTGAGCGTGGTGCTTTCAGGGGAGGTGGGAAAATGGAAAACTCCACCAAAATGAATTTAACAGGTTTGTAGTTTTCATAGAAGTGCAGTTAAAGTCCTGTAGTTTGATTGTAACACTAATGAAAACTTTAACAGTGGAATTTTTATTTTTAATTAAATGCTCAGAGTTTGGATGGGGAACGAATCATTTCTTAAAGAAACTGATGCAGATGACACGTGTAACATTTTGTTGTTATCAGAGTTTATTCACCAAGTTTCAGAGCTGCACATGGGGCACGGCATTAATACATTTATAAAGTCTTTTAAATCAAATTTACAACACTGGTTTGTTTTCAATCACAAAAGACTTTTACTTTCTAACATTCGTGTGAACTTATGGAAGCACAAAAATGCCCCAAAATAAAAAGTTGTAAATATTTTCTCATAACTTTGAAACTCAACTGACACATTTGATAACATTTTCTACTTTTTGTTTTTTGATTGATTGAAATGAGCTCTTTACACCAACTAAACATTTAAAACCCTAAAATAAAACCCGTGTAAATACTTTATTTACAGGCGTTAACGTCATACAAGTGAAAACAGGAATTTGTTTTTGTGAAAGTTTATCTGAATCTTACCGTAGAGATGAACATCAAGTTTGTAAAACTTTGACTTAAAACTGAAAGTTTTGTATTTGAGTTATTTTGCTCATTACATTTGATTTTATTTATTTTAAGTTTTGCAGGAAAATGTTTTTTTTGTGGTGTTGCTGAACTTCTAAAGCTGTTTTTAAATCCTGAATATTTAATTTGAACGTTATCCTGGTGTGTCAAGGACCGAGGCAGATTGGTTTGTCACAGATGCAGATTATTTTTTGATTCAGGGTCCGGTGGTTTGTTAAAAACACGCCTGAAGACAAAAACAACTCCAAATAATCCGTAGATAAATAATTTCAACGTCCCTCAGTTTCCTGTTTGCTCCAAACTTCAACTTGTTGCAGCCGTTTAAAGCTGCCGTGTTCACAAATCAACAGTTTTAAGAACAAAAAGTGGTTTTTTTTTTCAAATCAGTTGAATTGAAAAGGTTAAATAAAAGTTAGATTTTTGTTCTGACAGTTGTTTCTGTCACGTTGTTCCACGTTTCTGTGCTTTACTCGTGATTTCTTCATTTTTCATGAATCTTTTCAGCCTTTTTGCTGTTTTTGAATGATCTGATGTATTTTTGGATTGTTTACATGTTGTTTACCCTCTCGTGTTGTTGTTGTTTCTCGGTTTGTTGTCTTGTTGTTTGGACCGTCCTGATCTGGTCTAGAGTTTCAGACCGGTTCTGATCAAACGTTACTCAAGTTAATTAAATTAATCATTAATTATTTAAACTTATCAGAATCTGAGACACGAACCGGTTTTAGTGACGTTAGCTTCAATGCTACAAACAAAATGCTGCGTTTAATGTCTCTGAGGAAGGTTTGGTTTGAGTAATCCAGAAGCTGACCAGATTAGGTTTAATTTATTTTTAATCCAGAACTGGAAGAAGATGAAGTTTAATTTTCATCAGGACCAAATGAAGTTTGTGTCTCGTTGGTTCCGAGACGTCGGTCTGTTCTGCACATTCGTTTTCTCAAACACTTCCTGAGAAAAGTTTCCTCTGCAGCGTGTCGTAACTTACACGCACACGCACGCACGCACGCACGCACGCACGCACGCACGCACGCACACACACACACACACACACACACACGAGTCACCGAGGAGTTGTTGTGACACTCGAGGAAGAGAATCATCACCAGGAAAGAAATCAGGAACGCTGACATGACAAAACACACACACACACAGGGCTGCGTGTGTGCGTGCGTGCGTGTGTGTGTGTGTGCGTGCGTGTGTGTGTTTAAACCCTTCCCGCTCTCTTACAAACACTTCATATGCTCTTAAACCCTTTGGTGATGATGATGATGAGGTGGATTTACAGAACACACAAAATAAAAACAAGTTTAAAAACCGTGATTCGGTGAAGCTGCAAGACGTGCACGTGATTAGACCCGTCACGATAACCTCCGTCTCGTCGAAGCTCCAAAATTCACCGTTGAAACCCGTGCCTTCGTGTTAAAAGTTGTTTTTCTCTGCAAAACGAAGATGAGAACTTGTTTACTGACTTTTTATTAAAAGTTTTGTGTGAAAAATGCTGAAGAGCTCAAACCACACCGAGCGTCCGCCATTTTGAGAACCGAAGAGAGGCAGCCCATGTCACGTCAAGGGGCCTCCCTCCCATTGTTCTTAGACACGCTGCTCGCTCCCTCACTATCCATCCTCCAGTTCAAACAGTCTTATACTGCCATCTGGTGGTCGAAAAAAGGGACTACACACAAAAATTAACCAACATTCCTTCTTAAATTTGACAATAATTATTGTCAATTTTCAAACAATATTATCATTTATTGCAATAATTTCTGAGACGATTAATCTCTCCGCAACATTTGTTATCGTGACAGGCCTAACGGCGTCATGTCCACTCTTATTTTGAAAAACCGCGATAAAGCAAGCCTGCGATCCCCAAACGGCGGCGTAGCAAGGGACTACCGTACTGCAGGACAGCCACATGTCCACGTTGTGCTCGTGTCTTCTTCCAAACTACCGTCACATCTGGCGAGTCTCCAATCAAAGACGCTGCAACAGAACATCTGGGACGACTCGAGGACGATCGACGCTTCGTTCGCCGTGTCTTCAGAAACGTCACGAGAACGACCTCTGAACTCTGAGCGCCTGATTGTTGGCGGGCCGGCGCCGTCGGCCGCTAACGAACGGGCGCAGGGCGCTTAAAGACGAGCTGTCGAGGACCGGCGGTCGGCTTCAAGGCTCTGTGACCTTTGAACTCTGGGCCGGTTCTTCAGGGGATACAACTGGTTTGTAAAGTTTTAAGTGACGGGTCCAGAGGTCAGTTAGTTCTGACCCATTTAGACCCGAGGAGGAAATCTAGTTCTGTTAGTTCTGACCCGTTTAGACCCGAGGAGGAAATCTAGTTCCGTTAGTTCTGACCCGTTTAGACCCGAGGAGGAAATCTAGTTCAGTTAGTTCTGACCCGTTTAGACCCGAGGAGGAAATCTAGTTCCGTTAGTTCTGACCCATTTAGACCCGAGGAGGAAATCTAGTTCTGTTAGTTCTGACCCGTTTAGACCCGAGGAGGAAATCTAGTTCTGTTAGTTCTGACCCGTTTAGACTCGAGGAGGAAATCTAGTTCAGTTAGTTCTGACCCGTTTAGACTCGAGGAGGAAATCTAGTTCAGTTCGTTCTGACCCGTTTAGACTCGAGGAGGAAATCTAGTTCAGTTCGTTCTGACCCGTTTAGACCCGAGGAGGAAATCGAGTTTGAAGCTTCCTGTTTGGTTCTTCGTGGTTTGAAAACGTTTCGATTGCTCGTTTATTACGAGGGTTTTTATTTTTCTGTTTTCTGTTTTGGATTAATTGAACTTTACGTCCGGACTCCGAGGATCCGTTTTCTAATCGAGTTCAGTTTGTTTCCGTTGGACGTTGCTGCCGCAGGACAGGAAGTGTTGGACGTTTCCTTCGTCTTTCTGTCCTCTCAGCTAAAAGACGTCCCTCCGTCTCGTCCTTCCTGGACTCCAGCTGTGGAAACGTTTCTGTGCAGATGTTTTTTGTTTTAAATAAGATTTAATGTTTGTGCCTCACATTAAACCGATCGATACGTTGGAGACGGATCAAACCTCAGAGGGACAGGATGTGAAGGATGATTGGAACCTTCAAAATAAAAGTGCAGTAAAGTTGCGACACCCGGACCACGAGTCGTTAACCGTCAGCTGCTGCGTTTAACGAGAAACCGCTTCAACTTCCTTTAAACTGTTCACGTTGGAAAACTAATCACGTTGTTAAAAATCAAACGGCTGCTCAGGTTTGCTGTGAACATTTAATGTTTATTAAAAGTAGGACGGAAATTATTTTTGTCTTTACTGACTTTATTTTATCTAGTGGGGAAAACTTTATTTTATCTAGTGGGGAA